CGTGTGTGTGTGTGTATTTATGTATATATATTATCTCCAAATGTAAAAGAACAAAAAGTAAAATTCAAGTGTTCAAAACATTAATTTAAAACAGAGCCCAATACAAAAGTAGAGCAATAAAGCTTTATTTATTATGCACTGTTACATTAGAACATGTACATACCCACTGGACAAATGTAACAAGCATAATAAATATATATGCATAATATATATATATATATATATATATATATATATATATATATAAAAAACGATTCTCCCGTCGGGTTCGACGTATGAGGGTCAAGCAGATCAGTTTCCAGGAAACTGACAGCCTGGCACCGGCACATGAGATTCGATTATAGTGAAGGTTACGTGCAGGACCATCCACATTTTTTGAAGGGCCGAATACAGAAACCTGGTGCACTACGTGCCACAAGGTTCCCAAACAACCCCCCTCAGGTTTTGAATTCAGAGTTGTCCTTCTCCCTAGACCAGTTGCCATCCAAGGCTATAGAACCCAGTCTGTCCTGCTATTTTACCCATATATATATATATATATATATATATATATATATATATATATATATATACACACACAAAAAAATGAGAAGACAAGAAAATCTATTCTTAGTTTAACCAAGACGTTTCGTCATGTGATATCTAGACAAATGTGATGGTTTTAGTTATTCAAAATTTCCAAATATAAGAACGCTTATAAATATTCAGCATGTTAACTGAAAAGATTAGGTCCTAGGTTATGTCATATAACATCTTTCAAAGGAAATTTTTAAATTTGAGTATGCTCAATAACAGGTTAACTGAAATGACTTGGCACTTAGACTTTAGAATACGTCATTTAACATACTCTAGAAAGAAAAAGTTTTGGGGATTGAAATATGAGACGGACATATGTATTATACATCTCCAAAAGTTGAAACGATGGATTCAGCTGTTTTCCTTTGATTTTTCAACATGTTTGTTGTGTATATTGGCTTGGGAAAGTAGTAATTCTTTCAGGAAAGGTGAAACTGGGAAAAAAATGAGGCATAGATTGATATTTTGATAATATTCAATGGCGGCACTCTCAAGGATTTTCCTTCTGAGTAAATTAATTTCTGTTTTGATGAATGTGGCAATTTTTTTTTTTTTTGTAGATCAAAATTGTGGTCAAATTTATTTCTGTGTATGACTAGTGCATTTGTTAAATTATTATTTATAATGTCTCTTTTGTGTTCATTGACAAAGTGTGTCAAATGACGAATCATGTCGGCTAAACTAAGTATAGTTTTCCTCTTGTCTTTTCATTCATTTTGTCTGTCTCTTTAAAAGATATACTGCATCTGAGAAATATATATATATATAATAAAAACAAAATTTGTCACTTAGCTTATAGATGTTATATTTACACATATACAGTAAAAACATTGTGCTAGATCTGGATCAATGTGAGTAATTCAGTTCAGTCATGCGTGTGTGCGTGTATATATATATATCTTTTCTGTTTATACATTATTTTCTTAGATACAAATATTTAAGTAAATGCTCTGTTTATAACAAACAGTATTCAAAACATTTACCAGCCTGAATGTCCAAGAAATTTCATAGGAAATACGTGTACTCCCACAGGAATCCAACCTGTTTCCTACACAAAACCGTCATACAGCCTGACGTGTTATACTATTTAGCTACAGAGGAAGCATCTGGTTGGAAAGGTCAAATTACTGTTTTTTAAACTACAAATTTCACAAGTTTTCCTTCAAACACTTATATCTGCTCAAATTGTATCTTAACATAAACAAATGACATTGTCTATTATGAAATAAACCAAGTCCAACAATTATTTTAATATATTTTCTATTTATATGTTATTTTCAATAGATACAAATATTTAATGTTTACGTTAAGATACAAGCTTCCTCTGTAGCTAAATGGTATAGCTCATCAGGCTATATGACAGTTGTGTGTAGAATACAGGTTCGATTCCTGTCAGAGGACACATATTTTCTATGAAATTTCTCAGACATTCAGGTCAGTAAATGTTTCTAATACTGTTTATTATAAACAGAGCATTTACTTAAATATTTGTATCTATAAAAATAACATAAACAAAAAACATTAAAATAATTGTTGGACTTCGACCATTCCATAATATATATATATATATATATATATATATATACACACACACACACACAGGAGACAGAGACACAGAAATACACATTCATATATATTCACAAAATGTATATATATTTAATCTATTCACCTCACACAAGGCAATAATGCCCCTAAGATGCAAGTGGCTACTAAAAGTGAAAAAGAATGAAGAAACTTCAGAAAGAACTCGAAACCCAATCAATCAGTTATGTGCCATGCATGACATGCTTAGGCAATCATGTATTTTTCAATACATGACTGACAAGGCAGATTTTTTCCCCGCAGTAGCTTGCCATTTCTTTCTGCTTTAGACCAGTTGCCATCCAAGGCTATAGAATAAGGTCTATCCTGCTATTTTACCCATAACTGGGGTAAGAAGAAGAGGATTCATACCTTTCCCAAGGGTATTAGCACGTAAATGTTTGTAATGGATTTGATTGGAATTCGAACTCGGCTCTCCAATTCCTCAATCCGAGCTGCTACCCATTACTCCACCATGTCTCCGAAACCCAATACTAAACAGAAAACAATGGTAAACCTCAACTACTGTTCAAAAGCCTCGGATGTGGGGGGCATGAACCGGATAATTTGCTAACCCAAAGTTTCTCAAACTTTTTCAGATGTAGAACCCTTCTGGGTTTAGAAATTTTGTGGGGGAACCCCAGATACTAATACTTTTATATGGTTGATATATATTTTCATATACTGTTGTAAGTAAGTCCATTCAAAAAGCAATTCAAAATAGTACATATCAGTTATTTTTTTTTTTTTTTTTTAAATAAAAATGTGATTTTTGTAATTTTCATACTTGCCACAAGTAACACGTGGAACAGAATTACGAACAATGTTAACATGAAATTTATTTCATATGCAATCAGAATTTTTTGCAACATTCAATGAGAACAATGCTTCTGTTTTATATTGTCACAATTTTTTTAATGTTTGGCTTTATACTTGATAGTTTGATTCTCAAGTCAGCAGCAGGATTAAGTCTACTTTGGTATTTAGATTTTATGGCAGTGTAATAACAGATGGATACTAAAGATATCATGGACCAAATGTGTGAGCAATGACGAGGTTTTGGAGAGGGTGCAAACAAGGAGGAAGCTTATACTTAACATTAAGAGACAGCTGAAATTTCTGGGACACAAATGAAAAAGGAGGGCTTGGAAAATCTGATACTCACAGGGCAAATAGAGAGAATGAGAGACAAGGGAAAGCAACGCATGACATACCTAATGAGCTTAAGCAAGTGGATGAAAGAACAGTTTCTGAGAGAGGTAGCAAAGAGACAAATAAAAATTATTGAAGTACAAGGGATAGGGCGAAGTGGAGAGCCATGATCACCTGTGTCCTGAAGAGACATAGGTTGGGGTTGTGTTTTTTAACTGGAATGTATACATATTAAAGTTATGCCAGCAAGGGTCAATAACAATTTTCCGATATGGCAAGAAAATTAACTTTCAGATTTATGTGGTGTCATAGTACACAGATAATATCACAAGCAATAACTACTTTTCAATTTGGCAGTACTATTATACAATTAACATTCACCAATATGATAAAAGTATTACAAGATACATCACAACATTATAGAACAATCTAAATCTGTTGGCAACTATGTTTTTAGAAATTATTTACCAATCTTGACCATATGTTATGTTAAACATTACTCTGAACTTTTGTCACTGAACCCCAGACACTACATTGTTGAACCTCTGGGTTTCTCAGAACCCACTTTGGGAACCTCTGGGCTAACCTATATACCACTATTGAGGAAAAAAAATAGCAAATAAACTTGCAGAGTTTAATTGGAGACGTTAGATATAAAGAGTTGACGTAGACTTAAGGAATTGGAAACCCAGTCCTGAATAGAAAACAAGAGATAAACCTGTACACCTGTTCCCTGCAAAAATGGAGAGAAGTGTGAACCAGATGATAGACAAATCCATTTCCTCCAATTATAAATTACATACACACACTGTGTGTGTGTCTGTGTGTGTGCCTTTAAACACAGATTTTTCTGACTCTCAAAATAGACATATCTGCAGTTTCATATCCTGATAGAAACAAAGCAATTTCCAAATAAAAATTTTTTTTTTTTATTTATTAATCAGACATATTTTATCTGTCTCTATTTCTGAGATGAGATATTATGTACACTGTTTACATTATTCAGACTATTGTCCTCATCTTTGTTGCCATATTCACCACAATGTTTCGGCTGTTGTACACTGTGGCCTTCTTCAGGTGGTTGGCATGTCGAACTGAACCCTTTATTTCGCTCGCTGGGGTCGACTGTTCTAGTTCCATATGCCATGTTTAATGGATGTCAGTTATCAGTTATCTCTTGTTAATTCCTCTCTCCAAGTTCTCCACTGCCTTAACCGGGTATTGAACTCACAACTCTTTGGGTCTTGTCACTGGATCTAACCAAGGCCTTTATCCACTGTGCCATGTGTCCTTAAGGACATCTGTGTATAAATATGGCAACAAAGATGAGGACAATAGTCCGAATAATGTAAATGGACAGATTTTATTTCTTAAACTTTATTTTATTGTTTTTGTGGATAGATATATCTAAACCATATCAATATACAAGACATACATACACACTTATAGATACACAAATATATGGAGATCATAAATGGACGCACAACTGAATACATACCAATATGAAAGAGCACATATATGAACAAAAATATATTGGTTAAATGCCAACAGTCATGTATACTGATGTAAAGATATCCAGAGAGACATATTAGCACATCACAAGTACAGACATGCGTACACACACAAGCATAGATGCATATAAGTCAAGAATTGGGAAGGGAGTGATAAGATTGTCATAGAGACGAACTTACCTTAAGATTTTGCTGTTGGAGAGTTTTGGCTTTTTCTTCCAGTCTCCGAGCAATGCCGGCCAGCTCTGCGTTTCGTTTACGCAGAGACTTAAGTTTCTCCTCCCGTGATTTATGATCTTCTTGCTTCTTTTTCTGCAAATGTTGGGCAAAAGCAACAGAAAGGAGAAAAAAAAAAAAAACTTTTAGTTACATAATGTCTGTACAATCAAAATCTGACCAAGCCAAAAACTGGTCTTCCCAACCGACCAAGGAAAAAGAACAATGCACAAGACATGACTGACAATGAAAAATCAAGAAATTTAAGAATGATCTGGCATTTTATTTAAAAAAACAAAGAACAAAAAGAAATATAAAAAAAAACAAAAAAAAAAAAACACCCACCACATTGTCCAGAAGGAAAAGAATGCTTCATGCATACCTGTGTGGATTTGATATTTATACCACCCTCTTTGGTTATATACTTAGGGTATGTAAGTTAGAAGCAGAACAATAAAACCTTGTGCTGTCAATTCAATCTTTATAAAATAGTTTCAGACAACCCAAAAACTTTAAGCTGATTTTTCTGTTTTAGTTCATTCTGTTCATTGGCTTCATATGCACAAAGCGTATCCGTCATCAAAGCAGAATATGGGATCAGCAGGTCAAGTTTAAATTCCAGCCAAAGCTGTCATGTTTGCTTCTGCACAAATAACCGGTAAAAATATAGAATTGAGGCTGTAATTTGCTTATGCAAAATGGCAAGTTAAAAAATTATATATATAGTTTATAATTTTTAATTTATTTTCCAATACATAATTTTTTTTAAAAAATATATATTCAGATCTACATGGTGAGTCAACAGACACACACCATAGGGGTTAATGGATATAGCAAAGAGGTTCTGGTGAGTGGCTACCAAGGTCACCAATTTTTTTTTTTTTTTTTTTCTATGGGGTCATTTGAAATCAGTTTATCAGACACACCCAAGAAATATTGAGGAACTTAAAGAAATAATTAAATATGAATGCAGTAAAATGACAGGAAACTGTCCGACATGTTAATGAATCCTGCAGGCACAGAATTGAAATGTGTTTTGAAAGAGGAGGGGGACATTTTGAACAGCACATATAATCATTAAATAATTAGTAAATAAAATTTTCATTCATAATTATACTTTAATAAATTATCCCTATGGTGCCCAACTTTTGCCTTACCCTGTATATTCTTTTTCGCCTTACCCTGTATATTCTTTTTCGCCTTACCCTGTATATTCTTTTTCGCCTTACCCTGTATATTCTTTTTCATGTGGATGCTTGTTGGTTTTATGTGCAGCAACAATTTTCACAATTTCTTTGTTCTGCAATTTTTTTTTTCTCAAAAAATTAAAAAAAAAAAAAAAAAAAGAAAGTTCTTGTATTTCGAAAGTTCCAATAGATTTTCATTTCTGTGCATGTGAATTATGACCCCAACATTTACCAAATAATCGTTCTAAAGTTATTTATGTGCCAAAATGTGTGTATACATCTTTTTCTCTCCCACAGGTAATGGGTTTGAGATATCTTCAAATATGTGGACATCGTTAAAGATAAAATTGTTATATACAAGATCCTATATAAACAGTTTATTGAATTTGGTTGAATATTTAAACAACTTTGAAATCTTACTCATCAAAAATCAGTGGCTTTTTTTGCAATCAAAACCAGTATTATTTTGAAGGAATGTTATATACATGTCTAAAGAAAGCTGTATCCACATGATTGTCCCAAGAGGGCTGTAACTATGCAGATGTCTTGAGAAGGCCATGTTCACGTAAACGCCCCGAGAAGGGCATGTTCACGCAAACACCCTGAGAAGGCCATCTTCATGCAAACGTCTGAGAAGACAATCTTCATGCAAACGCCTCGAGAAATGCAATTCTCAAGAATGTTTTCATGATATCATGTTTTCAGTATATTATATCCATATGCACATCTTGAGACATACATATGGATATGAATATATATCTCTTCTCCTAGCTAGGGGTTAACAACAGGGCAGACTAAACTTTCAAGATTTGGTTGGCAACCCATCGAGAAGAACAACTCTGAATTCAGAAACAAATTAGATGTGGGGTCAGCAACCAAACTATTTAATACTTGCAATGGAAACCACAGCAACAACACCTAGCATTATGCAGCTGTAGCCCTAGATACATCAGGGAGATCTAGAGGGTTAATATACATCCATTCTATAGGATACCCAGTGTACACGTGTGCATCTTATCCCCAGTGTTGTGTACAAGTGCAGATATGTACTATCATTTGTACTTACCCCAAATCCCTAGTAGATGTCTGTAAACCTGCATAGTATTCAACCCGATATATAATATTTTTCAGACATATGCATACCTTATGATAAAGTTTAATTGATAAATTAGTTTAAAGGACAATACTCAATACTACACCTATCCCATAATAATTGTGAAACGTGTATGCACATGTATGGAAATGTAACAACTATTATGGGACAGATATGATAGAAAATTATTACTCCTGTCCCATAATGATTGTTCCATTTTGTTTGTGAAGCATTTTATATCATAACAAAGCTGATCAATGTCGGTGGTTGTGGGGTGACCAACTCAACTTACTCCATGGCTAGATTCCAGAAAATCCACATGACCAATCTAGCAAGTTCTTGTTTTTCTTGCCAGCAGTGTCCTGCAAAGCACATTCTGCATCATCTAAGATTGTAGAAATAATAGGGATTGGTTCGTAGATCTGTGATTTAGTTGGAGATTGTCTCCAAGAGATGTTAAGTACATCTCTTAGCATCTGAGTGTGGGTTCCATCAAGCTTAGACTTTAAGGTTTTAATTAATGTCCAGGCAGTGGCACCATACATTAATACCACATCTACAGTGGCTCAAAAGAATCTCCATTTAAAGTTGTCTGGTAGATCTGATTTTCAGATTACATCCATTTTATTCAACACAGCCCAGGCTTTAACTAAGTAAATTTTTGTTGGAATGTTTGGGTACCCTGGTGTACTAGTGAGCCAGCCAAAATGAGCTGACACATAGAAGGGTTAACCAATCAGAAGGCTCAAAATATTCAATGCGACATGTATAAAGGCGGCCATGTTTTTCCTGAATATTCACTGCCAGCCTTGGATATCAAAGACTGAACAATTACGGAACAGCTACTGGTGGTATTGGCAATAGATTCAGTAGAGTGTCTGACTCATGAGTGTTAATCTTTAACGTTGTTTCATTGAACAGATTATGTACTGCGCTGTATTCTATATTCATAGACTATGGTAAACATGGTCAACAATTTTCACATTCTTTTTGGAGAATTTATTTCTGTTGTATCCTAAAAGAGGTTACAAACAGATGAAGGTGGTACTCGAGTGAAAGGAACAGCAACATGGGCATAGATGAAAGAAAGAGAGGTTTATTGTAAAAGAGAATACACTACTGTAAGACAGGGAATCGGTTAGCAGGCTAATAATTCCTGAAGCAAGTACACAGGTATATCCTGTACTCACTATATATCTACTGATATAGTATGTCCACATAAGCAATAAGGAGTGTGGGACATTACATTACATCAATTTCGCTTCCTAGATACGTAAAAGATTCAATAGATCACACTGACTGTAAGATTATTTAACAAAATTAATGTGACCTATAAAAAACTTGTTGCTATTGTCAATCTAAGTTTCTTTTTCCCTGACTAAACAGACAACTTACATTTTTTTCCTTAAAAGGATCTATTAATTTAATTTCTATGTATTAACCCTTTGCAGGTTTTTTGAGATAATGTTTTAATGATACAAGTCTGATTATAATCCACATTTTCATCTTCCATTAGGAAGTACCACTCAGCTTCTTTCTAAGAACTGCTACTTTGTGGAATAGATTCCCAACAGGATGCTTTCCTTACAGTTTTGATCTCTTCAAGACTAGGGTTAACTGTGATCTTTTTTAGGTAATCTCATGAACTGCACTTCTTGCTTTTTCTTGCACTCATACAACACTACACGGTAACCCTCAACCTTGAGTGGATCTTGGGACTTGTATTAGGTGAACACGAGAAAAAAAATTATTTCTTGGATTAATCATATATAAAAGGGTATTACTGGAAAAAATCTTATGCAATTGCAGTGTTCGTGAAAAAAAACAAAAAACCTTAAAAATCTTTGATAAAACGAACAAATGATAGATTTGAATTATTATGAGAACTGATTTTATTGGTTTCAGACAAAATAAAAACCTCTTCTTAGTGAAAGTTAGTAAGATATGATATCCCTATTAAGTGAACACTAACTTAAAATAATATTTAATTACTACTTTCAACCTGTGAAAATTTTAATATTCTGGTGAATCTTAATTTATAAGTTAAGGATTGAATAAGCTCATGGCAAGTTCTATGACAGTAAAATATCTATAGAAATTCCCCTATCACATTATGAAATATTTGAGTTTAACAACTTTCACAAAATATTGAAATAACGTTCAAATATAAATGCTGGTCTGTTATTTTAAGTGGGTACAAATGAAAAGATTTGAAATTGACAACTTTTTCCATTTCACTGAAACAGTTGTTAAAAACTTCTCTCATTTTCTCACTGATAGCATGTAGTGTCTTTCCAAGCAAAATAGAATAGAGAATTATTTATGAGGTATTGGCAGGACATAATGGTCATGCTAACTAACAAAGGGAGAGACAAGCTCAATTTATATGATAATTTATGAAGAAAGAAAATTACACATGATTTAAAACATATTTAATTATTCATTTCAAATGTTTCAGCTTTTAAGCAGGTATAGTTATTAAATTGCATGCTGCAGTGTAATGGACAACTACTTGAAACTGGAAATCAAAGAGCCGAGTTTGAATTCCAGTCAGGTTCATTACATTCACTGACGCACAAATACCCTTGGGAAAGGTAAGAATCCAAATCTTCTCCCCCAAGCTATGGGTTGAAACCTGCAGAAAGGGATTTCCCTCATAAGGACATTCAAGCTGTCAGAATGAATGTCCTGAGTGGATACATTAGGAGATGACACTCCAGGAGAAGGAGTCTTGAAGATGACCCAAAGTCTGGATGTCCTCTAACTGCCACCACATAGAGATAGATGAAAGGCAACTGACTATAAATCAAATAGCC